CTAGAACTCACAGTCTCCTGATGACTAGCCCAAGTTAGTTTTTGTGACTAATGGGAGACTAGAACTCACTGTCTCCTGGTGACTGGCCCAAAGTCATCCAGCTGGTTTCGTACCTAACATGGAACTAGAACTCACAGTCTCCTGATGACTTGTCCAAAGTCACCTAGCCAGTTGTTGTGCCTAATGTGGGACTAGAACTCACGGTCTCCTGGCAACTGGCCCAAAGTCACCCAGCTGGCTTTCGTGCCTAAAGTGAGATTAGAGTTCACTGTCTAACCGGTGACTGGCCCAAAGTCACCCAGCTGGCTTTCATGTCTAAAGTGGGACTAGAACTCACGGTGTTCCGGACTAGCAGGCTCGTAGCCTGCAAATCTGATTGGCCCGCTGAAAGCCGATCGTGATTGGTCTCCATAGACTGATGCGATTGGCCAGTAAATGGGCTGCCGCGATTGGCCCTGCCAAGAGCGGCAAACTCAAATCGCCTTCATTGGCTGCCTAGCCGCAGCCAGCCCTATATAAGGGGCTGCTGCGGCTGGGGTTAGTTGCTCAGATCTGAAGTCACAAATAAAGAGCTTTAGTTACTATCTGAGTCTTGCCTCCGTTCTTGAACCATCCTCCCAGATACAACACACGGTGTCCTGGTAACTGGCCCAAAGTCACCCAGTTGGCTTTCGTGCCTAAAGTGAGACTAGAACTTGCTGACTCTTGGTGACCGGCCCAAAGTCACTTGGCTAGCTTTCATGCCTAAAGTGAGACTAGAACTCACAGTCTCCTGGTGATTTGTCCAAAGCCACCTAGCCAGTTTTTGTGCCTAATGTGGGACTAGAATTCACTGTCTACTGGTGATTGGCCCAAAGTCACCCAGCCAGTTTTCAGGACTTCAGCAGGACTAGAATTCACTATCTCCTGGCGACCGGACCAAAGTCATCCAGCTGGCTTTTACGCTTAAAGTGAGACTAGAACTCACAGCCTCCTGGTGATTGGCTCAAAGTCACCTGGTTGGCTTTTGTGACTAAAGTGGGACTAGTACTCACCATCTCCTAGTTTCTAACCGAATGGCTTAACCTAGAAATTGAACGATTCTGTATGGACACCATAGTAAATGACAACAATCAATTCTCTGAGGCAGGGTATCTTAAAGTTACCTGGGCAGCTTTAAGATGTGTGGGCTTCAACTCCTAGAATTCCTCAGGTAGAAACACTGGTGTAAAGAACCATATCTTTCATCAAAAATTCAAAAGAGCTAGTAAGTAACCTACCTACCTGGTTACTTACTAGTAACCAGAAACCTACTTGGTTGTTGGAAATTATAGTGTTAATGCTACTGATAAAAGAACAATGTTGTTAATTCTTTTTTCCCCAAGATAATATGAATACAGAGAGAGTTCCATTTCATAGATGTATCTTCATCTTTGCCATCACCTAAAATGTATATTTATTTATTTTATTTTATTTATTTATTTTTGTCAATTGCTTATAAGATAATAGGTATAAGTAAAAACATAGCTATGAATACATGGATACATATAAGGCAAAAATAATAATAAAAGGTACAATAGGACAGGGACGGTGGGCACGTTGGTGCGCTTATGCACCATATATTGTCTCTCTAATCCAAAATTGGCTCTATAAACTAGCACAGTTTTCCTCATCAATTAGCAAATAAACTAGTCAGGTTTATTAGCTGTGTATATAATCCAACGTTCATGGTGTTCCAGATACGTGTATGTCATTGTGCCTGGCACACATCAAGGTATTTATAAAACGTATAATTATAAATTATAATCCAGAGTCTGCTATTCTATGTGTGCAATCTAAGGAAAAGCAAGAGCATTTCCTATCTTGAATAAAACATGTAATTTTACATCTTCAATGGATACAGAGACCTTTTTCATTGCATTTTCCTTAATCTTGTAATTTAGCTGGATACTTTAAAAAATATGCATGTATTCAAAATAGTAACATCCAAAAAAGCATTGCTTGTTGACCAAAAAATAAATAAATCTGCATGTTTGACAAGATTTCAAACACAACTCTAAACTGGGATTATTTGAAGAAACAACATAAAAATGTTCGCACAAACTTTACAATAAACTCTATTCCAAAGATTCAAACTTGACAGATGCATAAAAATAAAAAATGGCAGTATTCAGTAATCCGAATTCCATGGATGCTTTAAGGATGGGCAATTTTAGGAGGACAGCAGAATAATAACATTCCTTGGACAGGCCTGCATTTTCGGTCTGCTTAGAGGCCCTTTAAGAAATATATGTAATGAAAAATGGGACAGGATCAACAATAAATGAGGGCTGAATGGACTTTGAAGACAAAAAGGAGCTATTTGTACGAAAGAGGTAAATTAAAATGGTCTTGTGGCAGGAATAGAGGAAGATCATAAAATGAAAATGTGAGATGAAATGGATGACTGAAGGAAAAAAGCAGAACTTCATAGTTGGATGGATATGATGAGTTCCTCAGAAAGTACAGATAGTCTTTTACTTATGACCACAGTTGAGCCCAAAATCTATTTTGCTGAGTGAAATATTTGTTAAGTGAGTTTGGTCCAGTGGTGGGATTCAAAAAACTTTACTACCGGTATTGTGGGTGCAGCTTGGTGGGCGTGGCAGGGGAAGGATACTGTAAAATCCCCATTCCCTCCCCACCCCACTAACCTGCTTTCCAGCTCCGTTCTCCTGTGCAGGGCAACCAAAGAAGACCCAGCCGCTCAGCTGGCACTCAGGAGACAGAGAAGAGATGGGGAAGAGGCCAGTCAGAGGTGGTATTTGCCGGTTCTCTGAACTACCCAAAATGTCCGCTACGGTTGTCCAGAACTGGTCAGAACCTGCTGAGTAATACCACTTCTAGTTTGGTTCCATTTCTTGCCACGGTTTTTTCGCAAATCACTGCAGTTCTTAAGATAGTCACACGGCTGTTAAATTAATTCAGCTTCCCCATTGACTTTGCTAGTCAGTAGGTCACAAAAGGGGATCCCATGACCCCGGGGCGCTGAAACCGTCATAAATATGAGTCAGTTGCCAAGCGTCTGAATTTGGATCACGTGACTATGGAGAAGCTGCAACCGCCATAAGTGTGAGAAATGGTTGTAAGTTACTTTTTCCAGTGCCATTGCATGCCATGTAGAAAAGGTTAGCCATCAGTGTCCTAGTGTTTGCAAACAAGGCTCGAAACCAGGGGTGGGATTCTACCGCTTCTCACCTATTCGCAAGAACCGATTGTTAACATTCTAAGCAGTTCGGAGAACCGGTTGTTAGAAGAAATTACTGGCCTAATCCTGTAAGGAAGGTAGGAAGGAAACATTCTGGTGTTGCTTACAGAAACTGCCTCTCCGTTAACCCTTATCTTGGCAGGACTAGACTTCCTGTCTCAGGAACTTCTCTGGAGTTTTTTTCCCCTCCTTTGCTGGTACTTTGCTTGTGTGGAGTGACCATTCAAAGTTACAATGGCACTGAAAAAAGTGACTTATGACCATTTTTCACACTTACGACTGTTGCAGCATCCCCACAGTCATGAGAGGAGATGCATGCCTCAATGTGAGTGATCTTGAGTTGGCCACACCCAGCCAATAACATGACCACCAAGCCATGCCCACCACCTAAGCCACGCCCACAGAACCGGTTGTTAAAAAAATTGAATCCCACCCCTGTGTACATGGCGAGAAAAATGAATCCTCCCTCCCGGAGGGAAGCAACGGAAACAAGCATAGAGTGGGTGTTTGCGGGGGTCTCATCTACACAACGTTGAAACTACTTTTACTGAGATCAGCTACAATAACAATACAATGCAATTTTTTCTTAAAAACCTTCCAGTGTTGGAGCAATCACAATGTCTGGAGGCAGGTCATTCCACTCATTCATTGTTCTCACTGTCAGGAAATTTATACTCATTTCTAGGCTGGTTCTCTTGAGTTTAATTAATGCAGGGGTCTTCAAACTTGACAGCTTTAAGACTTGTGGACCTCTCCCAGAATAGAGATAGAGATAGAAGATAGAATTCTTTATTGGCCAAGTATGGTTGGACGCACAAGGAATTTGTCTTGGTGCAAATACTCTCGGTGTACATAGAAGAAAAGATACATTCGGCGAGAGTCAAGAATCATCAGGTACAACACTTAATAATAGTCATAGGGTACAAATAAGCAATCAAATCATACTAGGAAACAGTCAATATAAATCGTAAGGATACAAGTGACAAAGTTACAGTCATAAAGTCACAAGTGGGAGGTGATGGATGATAAAGAGTGATGAGAAGATTAACAGTAATAGTGCAGACTTTGTAATAGTTGGACAGTGTTGAGGGAATAATTTGTTTAGCAGAGTGATGGCGTTCGGGAAAAACTGTCCTTGTGTCTGGTTGTTCTGGTGTGCAGTTGTTCTGGTGTCGTTTTGAGGGTAGGAGTTGAAACAGTTTGTGTCCAGGATGTAGGGGTCTGTAAATATTTTCACAGCCCTCTTTTTGACTCGTGCAATACACATTCCTCCTCCAATCATGTTAGCTCAGGAATTCTGGGAGTTGAAGTCCACCAGTCTTAAGCTTGCCAAGTTTGAAGACCCTTAGTTTAATGGAAGGGTGAGCAGCTGAAAATCATGGAAACAAAGTGATAAAATGAAAACTAAGGCACTTACCAGGGCAGACACGCAAAGCCATACTTTTAGCAGGTGTGTTATTCAATCAGTGCACGACAACCACTTCCCAAGTTTGAGAATTTCACCAACATCTCAGCTTTTCCTCACTTGGCTTACACCCATCTCTAAAGTCTAATTTAACAAGATGGAAACTGCGTTGGTGTGTCATGCCCAAAGTCAGGAATGAGAAAACTCCTTGATGGTTGACTGACAGTTGAGAGCTGTTTTTCCCAACCTGGTCATAAAATGAAATAACATCATCAGGAGCATTTGATCCAGAGTCTATAAAATCATAAACTCAGGGCGGAGAGTCTGTCCTTGACTTCCTTCTCTCTGCCCTTTAGCGTACGTGCAAAGATGGATGGAAATCCCTCCAGCCCTTCCTCTCTCCTAATCCCAGTTCAGCTATCACCAGACGGAGGCCAGTCTTATGACTCTGAATATAAGCACCAGCCATGCTCAGCATGTGCCCAAGACCCCTGTCAAAGTAGGCCACTCCTGAAGAGGCTGGAAGCCCAGGTAGGCATCCATCCACACCTTGCCTTCAACACTCAGGTGTCAGGATTCTGGCATTTGCCTTAATTAAACCGTGGGCCTCAAGCCAAGCTTCTAAAATGTCAAAGGATTTATTAGGAGCGAACATGTCGGCATGACCTGTAATAAAGCTGATTCTGAGACACGTAATTCACAATCACCTATGACCCTGTTTTCTCCCCACCCCTCTGGGTTGTATCGTAATTCATAGTTTTCAGCAAAACACATTCATAGCTGAGAGTCATCAATCACGTTCTCCAACTAGGGATTTTCAAGGCAGAAATTCCAGTAGCTTAGTTACAATCGTTGCAAGATGCAATGGGATGCACTTTTGGTTTTAAACTGCCACACTGCTCCTTCAAATTTCTTCCCCAACCCCCCCACCCCCCGTTCATGGCACCTCTAAAACAGGCATGGAAATGTTTTATGAGTTGACATCAGGTTGATCGAGTACCCCAGGATGGATCTAAGATAGTGTTGGTAATGTGAAGATGCCTCAACTCCCAGGATTTGGGGAGCTGAAGACCACACATTGTCATGGATGCATCTCACCTATCCAAGCAAGATTCTTTGCTAGGTGACTGAATGGGACAGTGGGCGCACATCTTCAAATTGCTGAAGTTGAGAAACATGTAGGGAGTCTCCAAACTTGGCCACTTTAAGACTTGTGGACCACAACATCCAGAACTGGCTGAGGAATTCTAGGAATTGAAGTCCACAAGTTCTTAAAGTGGCCAAGTTTGAAGACTCAAATTGTGAAGACTTCTAAAGATCTTAGAGTAGTTTTTCTGAAACTTGGAAATATATCCAGTGTAGACTTCAACCCCCCAGAAGTCAGTATGGGAATTCTGTCTTATAGAAGAATTCTGTCTTATACTATTGTTGAAAATATCTAACACTTGCAGGATCCATGGCTGTTTTGCTCTGAATTGCTTCTCATACTCCTATGGAAAGACAGCGCACATTGTCAGCCAAAAGGAAGTTCAAGAGGACACAATCAGTCAGATGCTTTGTTGTTTTTTGTTCGGGCAGGATCCAAAACTCACAATGGAGATCGACACCGCGGTTGAAAAGTCTGACAAAACCCAAAAGACAACAGCCAAATGTTGCCAGCAAATGTTGAGAGCCCTGAGCTGTGTCACTGGAGATATGAAGATGTTTGGAGACTGGCTGAAAGGTAGGTCACATTTGTGGTACCTCTATAAGACCCAATGGAAGCATAGGTGTAGGTGAAAAGGTGGTTGGATGCCTTTATTATCACCCACCCCAGCAAGTTTGAACCATCTGGACTTCAACTCCCAGAATTACCAAGACCACATGCTAGCAAGTTTAACAGGTGTAGACATCAACTCCCAGAATTCCCCAGCCAGCCCAGATCTGAGAGTTGACATCCACACATCTTAAAGATGCTAAGGTAGAGAAACACTGTACAAAAGATTGCCTGACAAACGGGGTCTTTCTTTCTTTCCTTCCTTCTTTCCTTCCTTTCTTTGTCTTTCTTTTTCCCTTTCTCTTCTTCTTTCCTGTTTTGTCTTTCCTTCTTGTTCACTTCTTTCTTTCCTTCCTTCTTCCTTCCTTTCCTTTCTTTTATTTCCTTTCTTTCTTATTCCCTTTTTACCATTCTTTTCTTTTTCCCTTTCCTTTCTTTCCTTTCCTTTCCTTCCTTTCTTCCTTCTTTTCTTCCCTCCCTCCTTCTTCCTTTTCTCCCTCCCTTCTTTCCTCCCTTCCTTTTTTCTTTTCTGTTCTTCTTTTTCTTTTCTTTTTTCATTTCCTTCCTTTCCCTCTTTCCTTTCTTTCCTCCTTCTTTCCTTCCTTCCCTCTCTCCTACCCTCCCTCCTCCTTCCTTTGTTCCTTCCTTCCTTCCTTTCCTTCTTCCTGCCTTCCTTCCTTTTTTTCCCTCCATTTCCTTTTTTCCTTTCCTTTCCTTTTTTCATTTCTTTCCTTTCCCTCTTTCATTTCTTTCCTCCTTCTTTCCCTCTCTCTCACCCTTCCTCCTCCTTCCTTCCTTCCTTCCTTCCTCCCTTCCTTCCTTCCTTCCTTCCTTCCTCTACCAAAGCTGTCATTGCTCATCCTACAATAAGCTTTAGGTTGACCCTTATTTTACCCTATAAACATAAGTTATTTATTCCCAGTCTTCCTCTCTCATCCTTCTCTTCCCCCCTCCAACGCCCCATCGCACATCATGCATTCCCCTTGCCTTCCTGCCACTCTGATGTTAAATTATACACTCGGAGGGGTGTGTCACAATCCCAACGCAAGCTGGCCTAGAGATGTTCAGGCCATCTGCCAACTTCCATGCGGACAACATAAATTAGCTGTTTTGTATCTTCTGCATGAACTGAGCCGCTCAATCAACTTCCCAATCGCGTGATGTTTTTGCAGAGAATAATAAATGTGTGTCATATTTTACAACCTTCTTGGCAGGAGGAGCCACACCAGATGTTGCCAGAGATATACACATTTGGCAAATGTCCCAGTTCATAAACTTTCGAACAATAGAAACAAAACCCTGTTGTGGAATTGGGGAAGATAGGGCAAGTTACTTTTTTTTTTCTATATTTTGACATTGCAACCTCATTGGTGGTATTTACACAACCCGGTCACGCATTAGCCCATTTTAACAGAATAACAGAGTTGGAAGGGACCTTGGAGGTCTTCTAGTCCAACCCCCTGCTCAAGCAGGAGACCTTATACCAGTGGTGGCTAACCTTTTGGGGCTCCTGTGCCAAAAAATTGTGTGTGCACTAGCGCACACGCACTCGCATGCCAGCAGCCAGAATGTAATATGCCTCCCACACCCCCTGCAAATGTGCATGCAATCCCCTCCCATGCCTCCCCCTTGCCTACACTGCACCTCACAGCTGGTTTGAGGCCTTTTTCGGCCTCCCAGAGGCTTGGAAAAAGCCTCTGCAAGGCTTTTCAGCCAAATAATAGGTCCATTTTGTCACTTCCGGTATTACAGGAAGTGATGAAATGGGCCTATTATATGTCCTGAAAAGCCTTGCAGAGGCTTTTTCCAAGCCTCTGGGAGGCTGAAAAAGGCCTCAAACCAGTCAAAAAATCAGCTGTGAGGCGCATGCATGCCTAGTGAGGTACGTTTGCCTGCGGCTCGCTTGCCAGCACAAATGGCTCTGTGCGCCACTTGTGGCATGCATGCCATAGGTTCGCCATCATGGCCTTATACCATTCCAGACAAATGCCTCTTCTTGAAAACCTCCTGTGGTGGAGCACCTACAACTTCTGGAGGAAAGCAATTCCACAGATTAATTGCTCTCAAATGTCTCCTTAGTTCTAGGTTGCTTCTCTCCTTGATTAGTTTCCGTCCATTGTTTCTTGTCCTGCCTTCATGTGCTTTGAAGAATAGATTGATCCTCTCTTCTTTATGGCAGCCCCATAACTATTGGAAGACTGCGATCATGCCTCACCCCAGTCCTTCTTTTCATTAGCTAGATAAGTGTTCTTAGGAAGCAGAGTATTTTAATCCATAAACTAGCCAAATATTCCCAGTTTCTAGAGCTCCCAAGTCAAATGAACTGGCCAGTATATTAAAAGCTCTTTTAAGCCCTTCGGAAATTACAACATTCTAAACAAAATTTTCTTATTTGTACAAGCACTTTAACCAGGTTATCTGAAGATCTGATAAGATGCCTTTTGAAGAAAAACGTAGTTAGTTTAAATTATGGGTTTGGGGTGTCATTGCATATATTTTTTTGCATATTCTGGTGGATTAATTCTACTTTTGTGCATAAGCAGCCATTTAGAGATAGCGAAAAACCACAGGGCCTGGCAGGCATTTGGCCAAAGACCTACAACTGAGCCAGGGATGACTTCAACGGCTGTCAAAAAGTCAAAATGGCAGCTATGACTACACGATTGTAGTCCCCCCCTTTTTATATGATTTGCAACAATATTCCTTCATCAAGCCTTTTACAGTGAATTTTTCATCCCTGGATTACCTTATTTATTAGATTGTTATCCTGCCTTTATTATTTAATAAATAAACTTAAGGCAGTGAACATATTTGATACTCTCTCTTCTTCCTATTTCTCCCACAACAACAATCCTGTAAGGACGGTTGAGCTTAAAGAAGGTGACTGGTCCAGAGTCACCCAGTTGGTTTTCATGCCTGAGGTGGAACTAGAACTCTCAGTCTCCTGGTGATTGGCCCAAAGTCAC